ACTTCTATTAACCCTAAACATCCAGCCCCTGACCGTAGACTGAGCAGGGAGTGAGAACGTGTTCAATATACAATATGACAACTTTAGATTTGTTTTGTTACTTAAACGTATGTTTTTCTGTCCTTTTTTTTTGTTGTTTTTGTTTTGTTTTCCTTTTCCTACAAGTTAAAAATGGCTAAATAGTACTGTCAAATGAAATGAAAAAAAATTAATTAATCACTAAGATTTTCCTAGATTAAGATGTAAATCTGCTTGTCCATAAAAGTCTTGAGAAATATTCAACACAGTATCATACTCAATGATGCATTATGAAAACAATACAATCTGTCACCTTTTTTTGTCTTGTATTCCCTCTTTTCCCAATACTTTCACAAAAGATCTAAGAATGAAGAAACAGTTTACAATCCAGTGCATAATCCACCTGTAGGACGCATTGCATAAATTGTGCTAAAAATACTTCATGTAAATACATGTATACTGTAGTTGTTTAAAAGAACAAAATTAATTGAAATGACAGTAAGGCACAACTTTTCACTACCAGACAGCCATCTTTGCCTACTGAACTTTAATGCCCGGTACAAATTTTTCCAAACAGTTTTATGATTTGTCATTTGTAAAGATATTCTTGTAAAAATGGTACAGTTTCTAGAAGTCTCTTCATCCACACAGAAACACTGAAAGTAAATCAAAATGCTGTGGTAACTCTGCCAGGCCTGTATGTGACGCTGTAACACTGCCATAGAAATACATTACAAACAGGAAACGAGACTTGGAGCATGCACATTGCGCTTGCATGACTGCACGACAACAACAACAACAACAACAACAAAATGGACCATTCAGGTCATAGGTTTGATTAGAGGTGAGGCTGTGAAATCATCATTTTCAAAAGGCTGAATTTGGTCTGGCTAGACTAAAAAGCAGTGTTTCAGGGCTGTTGTTTTTTTCCACTCTGAATCTTGTTCTCAAAAATACATATTTTTTGATYTCCTAAAATGCTGTTTCAGTGTGGACTCAGAGCAGAAACAACTAAAACCTTTAAAATATTCACAAAAAACATTTGTTAATGATCCACAATTTATTTCTTTATTCTCGGATTCCTTCTCTTTCTCCACATTTTCAGCAACATTCTCAGAAACTGCTCAAAGCTGTATTCTCTTAATCTTCACACAATAAAATTATTTGAAAGACRCAAACATTAGAATGCAGTGAATTGTCATTGCTAACATGTTTCATTCATTAGTTCTCTAACAATATTAGAATATGACTGTTAAAATACAATTTTTTTCAATTCAAACAAAAGAACATCAAAGATATAAAGATCCCCTACAGAAGGTTCACCCTGTCGCTTTTACAAAAATAGGAAGAAAACCATGTTAATGCCCAGTGATGATGGTTCCTCAGCATGAGGGTTTAAAAGCAGAACACAGACTAATGGACTCATCAAAGAGAGAACCATGACCCCCCTCCAGTGAATGTCAAGATGGGTGGGGTGACCATGCTGTTTTCATGCTGCTGAACTAAGCGAACCGCAACATTCGCAAAATGCACAGCAGCCCCATAACCTCTATAATTAACCAAGGGGGTGTGTTTTCTCTCTCACACACACACACGCATAGAAGTGAAAAGCAAGTGAGACAAAAAAAAGATGCATTGTCACTTTTGTTATTAAAGTTGGTGGAAATTTGATAGGGATGAAGGTCAAAAAGTGTGAGATCTGAGCAGGAAAAAGGGAGACAGGAAGTCAGGCTGAGCTGAGAGATTGTGATGTGAGGAAAACATGCAAACAGAGGAAATGAGTAATGGAACGAGAATGACACAGACTACAATTCCTCTTCTTATCAGCTTCCACCCAGCGCAGGTTTTTGGGGAATAGAATCGCATCAAAGCCACATCCTCAGTTAAAGGACACAATATTTAGATGGAAGATTAGCCGGGTTTCGGCTTATAGACGCGCAGGAACTGACAGCCACTTGGCATGTTTCACTGCTCCCATCAGCGTGTCAGAGTAATGTGTACAGATGTAAAAAATGATGATCGCATCTCGCACACTGATCTTCCCTCCACCTCACTGGAGATGTTTCCTTTACGCTCAGCTGTTTTATTTAACGGTGCACAAACAAGGGAAAGAGAAGGGCAGAAGTTCTGCTCGCTACACTTACGAGACAACAAGTTATCGTAGCAGTAAAAAAAATGCTCAGCTTTAAAAATATGTTTGGATTCAGTAAAGCCAACAAAGACTGGAGGCAGGGATGAGGAAAAACATTCTCCTCAGCGATGAATTATTCAAAATCCCAGTTAGAAAACGATGCTCCTACTTCAAGCTTATCCTTTAAATGGTTGAGTTACTTTCTGCCTGAGTGTTGCCTGCGGCGGGACGGAGCARCAAAACAGGCCTGATTTGACCTAATCTAATGCTTCACTTCTACATTTCTTCCTTTTGGCTCCTGATAAATCTGGGCAGATGAGTGCCAGAAATCCCACCATTACAGACCAACAGACTCCCATTCCTCATCTTAATGAAACACGTTCCTCGGAGCCTAAACTAAATATTTCATGGACTCTTTTCTGTGACCTTGAAACCTCGTATGAAAAGGAAAAGCTGCACCTCATTTTCTTCCGTTTCTTTACATTTAGACTTCTGTTTTTCCCCCCAATGCTATCTGCACTATGAAGGACTTTAAAATCATGCATTTAATGAACTAAACTGCAGCCAAAATATTCAAGTTCAGCATCTTCTGTCCATGTGAACAGCATTTTTTTTCCAGGGGCATTATTCAATTTCAGCACATAGCTATAGTATCTATAGTCTTTTTACTTTACCCTAAAGGCCCTGTTACACCATAATGCTTTAGACAACTTTAAAAAAAATTGTCCAACACAAAACATGTCTATGTTGAGACAGAATTTAAATATTCTACCAGAAGGTTTTTTTTTACATCTGGTTTCTATACAAGTCCTGCACTGACATTTTGTGCTCTGTACCACAGCCTGTGAGGGACATTTGGGTCTGTTTGCAGCAGACTGGACTGTAGCAATTACACTCTGAACCAAGCAAAGCAGAGACAGATCAGAGGAACAGCATCATTTGTGCTTCGATGATTTACTGAAAAAGTAGTACACTTCAAAAACACCTAGTTGTTCTTTTGGCTGATATCTTCTGCAGGAGTCAGTAGACAATACATGTAAGGTCAACTGTAAGTGTCATGGTCTTCAGCGGTTTTTCAAATTTAGTTAGTTTATTCATTTTCTTAGTTTCTGTGATCTGTTTTTTTTATTTTTTATATATTGTAATTTCTGTAATTCGTATGTAGATCTTTGTTACCAGTGGTGGGCACAGTTCCCTTAAAGCACTAATAGGGGAACTAATTTCCTAATTAGTGCTTTAGGGCTTTTTCTAATTTTAAAATTTATTAGTAGATTAACTCTTGCTAAATTTATAGGCTAAATTTAGAAGCACTAACTGAGGTCTATAAATGTTATTGATCAATGTTAATGTTAACAGCTGAGGGTGAAAGCTGTCACACATGTTGTATGTGTGTCACTTATCCACTAGGTGACAATACATGAACCCAAATACAGCTGTGGAATGTCAATGATAAGTATTAAGAGAGCAACATGACAATATGTGACTCATGTTGTCTGTTGAAGAATGTTCATGGGTTGACTGGGTTATTTTAGTGCTTTATAAATAGCTTTTGCTAAAACTTTCAGTGAATTAGTGCTTTAGAATTAGGGGACTTAAATATTTGAGTTAGTGTTTTAGGGCTAGTGGAACTAATTTTTAGATTAGCGCCACCCAACACTGTTTGTTGCAGTCATGTTAATAGTCCTGTGTCATTTCTCCTTTAAGCCCTCTGTGTTGGTTCTCAGTCAGCCAGCCAATCTCACCTGTTCCCAGTCTCCAATTAGGTCAGCTGTTTCCAACACGTCGTTACTTCTGCTCCATATAACCGGTTTCCTGCCACCACCACCATAGCAGGTCATTGTATGGTCTCAGTCTTGGTTCTTCTTTTGTTTTCCTGAGCTCTCCTGGTGTTTTTTTCTTTCCCCCCTTTAAGTTTTGCCATCAAGATGGCTTTTTATTTTAGTTTTTTCACAAGCACCTTGTATCTGCCTGCACCTTGGTTTCATCCAAACCACATCCTTGATAGTAAGATTAGACAATTGTTTTATGATCAGATGCACTTCCTAATACAATCTGGGCTGAAACCTGCAGCCTCAAGACTACAACACCACAACACTGACCACCAAGTTACCGAAGTCCCCCCAAAAACAATTTACTTAATTAATATGAAAACGAAATTGGATTTAGGCTGATATTTCCTGCTGTGTGACCCTAGCCTAACTTTCAGGGTGCAAACCTCTGGATGTGCAGGCTAAAACTGAAATCTTTTAAATGTCTGAATCTAAATTTAGATTTCAAAGTATCTGCATTTTTTTAAGATAAGTAATCAGTACCTATGCAGAGTTACAACTGAGCTTAGTAATTCTTTCATCATATACAAAATATCAAAAATACTACCGGAGTCGCAGTTTTTAAAATCCTTCTTCTTCCTGCAWGCTGGTGACTAGAGGTACCTTTGAAACTATCAAGGTCAAGGGCAGCAGGTCAGACAGGAATATGTGTAAGTCTCTAGAGTATTAATTATAAGCCATACATTAAGAGCAATAGCAGCCTTTCCAGTGTTTGACAAATTTGCTAGTAGCTGGCAGGTCAGATCACAAGCTAGACACAACAACTGTTCTTTTTTTTTACACTCAGGACCAGAGAAAAGGAAAAGGAAGGAAGCCTGGGACAGACTAAACACCAGAGGATCAAGAAACCATACCTTATAAAAAAATCACATTCTTTTCCATCATGTTCACTTTTTCTGTACAGAATCCCCCATATTGTAAAATAGGTAAGGTTTTACATCACGCAGCCTACTTCCTGTGTGGTCTCATCAAGTGAAGGAGTCAGTGCCGTTCAGAAAGGAGAACTGTTGGCTCGTACTTACAGCAACGAGAATCTGCGTGCTGCTGTGCATGACCTCAATGTACTGGTAGTCCACGAGGCAGCCCATGACAGTGATGTAGGAGTGGCTCTCGGTGGCGCGCACTCCGGGSGTCTGAGGCATCTCTCTCCTCACGCAGCCGGGACCGTGTTCGCTCCACCAAGAGTGGTGAGCCGATATGTTGAACGTCAAAAGGTCGCTCTCCTGGAAGAAAGGAAATGCATTAACCTCTATGTCTGATGTGTGTTTTTTATTTATGGTGCATATCGTTCCAAACACACACACACACACACACACACACACACACACACACACACACACACACACACAC